CTCATCACCAAAGTCATCATCCTGCCCACCACCATTCTCCTTCTCATTTATTTTAGAGATAGTCTGAGTATTGGACCTGCTTTCCTGTGATAACGTAAATATGATTTGATAGCATTCTTCCTCAAGGGTGGTTACAAAACGGAGCAGCCCTCAACTCCTTGGATTGTATCCTGTTTATGTCCACAGAGTTTGACGTGGAGGTTTCAGAATCTCCAGCTCCGGAAGTCTGTCCTGTTAAACAGCAAAATAACAAAAGAGACAAGCCACAGAAGCATAAACAGAGGTTAATATTTCTCCTTTTACATCCAGCCTGGTGTTTGGTCACAACTGGTGTGGTTCAGTTGCTCCAAGATGTCAGGGTTCTCATGTCAGGAAAATTCTTCTTCCCTTAAAAGAATCTAGATACCGGCTTTTGCTGGAGTTGGTTCAGTTGTCCACAGAAGCCGGGACACCCACATGTAGTTGTGTCAGTTTTCCTCATGGTGGCAAGATGGTCTGTGCTCAGTGCAGGAAGACCCCCAAGATCAAGAATGCTGATATTTCCCCAGAAGCACCTCCATACAGATACTTCCATGGGTGTTTCATTGGGAGAACTGAATCCCTCAGCTACCCCCAAGACAAGGGAGGCTGAGAAAGCTGAATTGGGTTGCCATGATTGGCTGGAATGAATCGTGATCCATATTCTTGTTCTCCCAGATGAAGTCTGTGTTCTGTTGCCAGGAAAGAATGTGGGAGGTAAGTATCATGAGTGTGCAGCAATTCAAAGTGCTATGGCTAAGTAACGAACAATCCCTAAACTTAGTGGCATTTATTTTGCTCAGGACTATGCTAAGTGGCAGGGCACAGTGGGGACAGCTTTTCTTTGCTCTCCTTGGCATCAAGTTAAAACAGCAGCAACATTGATCTTTCTCATCAATTTGCACTTTGTTCAGCCATCAGTGGACTCAACTTTCACCGCAGTTCTCTCTGTTACCAGCCAGGATGACTCCACACCTGAGGCTGGACCCATCTGAAGTTTCACTTTCTGATATGTGAACTTGGGCTAGGAAGTCCCAAAGTTCCCAACTAAAACACAAAGACTATCAGATGGATTAGGAGACAAAGCCCAACTATGTGTTGTCTACAAGAAATCCATTTTAAATATAAAAATGCACCTAGTTGAGAAGAAATAAGATGTAGAAAGATATGCCAGGCTAACGATAATCAAGAAGCTGGCATAGTTATATTAATTTCAGACAAAGCAGTCTTCAGAACAAGGAATATTATTAGCAGGAACAAAATGGTGCGTTGCATAATGACGAAGGAGTCAATTCTCCAAGAACATAAAACGGTCCTTAATCTGAATGTGCTTAACAAAAGTGTCAAAATACATGAGGCAAAAAATGACAGAACTGCAAAAAGAAAGAGACAAATCTACACTTATTTGGATAATAATATTATTGGATAATAATAATACTGCAACTTAGTGATTTAGTTCCTCTTAGTAACTGACAGATCCATCAAGCAGAAAATAAGTAAGGAGATAGTTAAACTGTACAGCACCACCAACTAAATGGATCTAATTGACCTTTATAGAATACTTCATCTGCCAACAACAGATCATACATTCTTCTCAAGCTTATGTGGAACTTTTACCAAGATAAGCCACATTCAGGGTCATAAAACAAAGCTTAGCAAATTTAAAAGGTCTGGCAAGGAATGTTCAGATACGAACCAAAGCATGATTCATGAGAAGACATTGGATAACTGGACTTTATTAAAATTAAAAACATCTACTTGGCAAAAGATAAGCAAGAGAATGGTAAGAGAATGACAAGAAAAGCCACAAACTCAGAGAAAATCTTTGCAAATATATCTAATAAAGAAATTGTATCCAAAATGCACAAGGAATTTTAAAACTTAACAATAAGAAAACTATCACACCAATTTAAGAGAAGATGAAAGATCACAACAGGCAGCAAATAAGATAGACTGGTGGCAATTAAGCATATGAAAGATGTTCAACAAAATGTCTCTAAGGGAACTGCAAATTAAAACAATGAGATCCCATTACACAAGTCAAGACTAAAATCCAAAAAACAGACAACACCAAAAGCTGACGAGAACACAGGGCAACAGAAACTCATTCACTGCTGGTGGGAATGCAGATGATACTTTGTAAGAGAGTTTGGCGATTTTTTACAAACATCCTCTTATCATAGGATCTAGCAATTATATTCCTTGGTATTCACCAAAAGGAGTCGAAAACATGTCTGCACAAAGACCTGCACACAAGTGTTTATAGCTGCTTTTGATGCTATCATTGCTCTAAACCAAAAGCCGCCAAGGAGTCCTTCCATTGGTGAATGGATAAACTGGGGTACTTCCTGATGAGGGAATATTATCCAATGCTAAACATGAAATGAATTATCAAGTCACAAGAAGACATGAAAGAACCTTAAAATCATATTGTTAAAAGAAAGAAGTCAGTCTTAAGAGGCTATAAACTGTCTGATTTCAGCCAAATGACAATCTGAAAAATGACACAACTAGAGGGACAACAAAACAGACAGCGGTTTCCAGGGTTTGGGGCAGGGGAGGATGAGGAGGCGAAACATAGGGGATTTGGGGGAGATGGAACTATTCGTTATGTTGCTGTGTTAGTGGGTACACAATAATGCATTTGTCAACCCCACAGAATTGTCCAAGAGAAAGACTGAACCCTTGTGAACTAGGGACTATCTACTTTTCTGTAAATCTGTAACTGAAAGGTTTGGAAATATTTTATTAATTTTTACTAATTTTTTAAAACTTGAAAACAAATAAGTGTGTTGTGATATGGTGTGAACTGAGCTATCTTGAAGCAATATTCGGGAATCCCCTGGTTGAGGGAAAGTTTTTTATTATTTGCCTGAGTTTTTTATTATTTGCTGACCTCCACTCCAGACCCCTCTCCAAGGGCTGACACAACACAGCCACTGATAACATTTGGACAGCTTGGACAGAAACAAGAAGAGATCCAAGAATTCCCGTAAGCCCTCTCCCCAAGATTCCCCAGTGTCTTCCCAGCTGTGTCTCCTCTAGCCCCTCCAGTCTTTTCAGTATTGTTTTCATCCCATTTCACAACCGAGCAGACCGGTGGGAGAACAGGCTTCGTTCCCATCTTCATTCTGATAACAACGAACATCTGCTGAGTGCCTAACATGTGCCAGGTGTTATTATAAGCACTTTATTGTGCATTTGCATACATCTACGCATATTTGGGTACATTTGCATATGTCTGTGTGTATTTACGTATCTTTACATGGTCAGTCCACCCTCACAGGGCCCTATCAGGTGGGGTCCATTGTCATGCATGCCCCACTTTGTAGATGAAGAAGCTGAGGCCTGGTGAGTCCCAAAGTCCCATAGTCAGTAAGTAGCTGAGTTAGTGTGGAAATGCAGGGGGGTCTGGGATGGAACCAAGAAAGAACCAGGAAGACTTGAAGAGCAGAGAACAGGTGGGAGCCCAGTTTGAGGGGTCAGAAGGGCACACAACCCCCCACCCCATTCCCAAAGTGAGGCTTCTGCTGTGATCTGCAAATGAGATGGGGCACAAACTCGGACTCCAAGATGGGGTAAAAGATTTCATTTTTACATGGGGACGTTTACAGCATTGAGCCTTCTGGGCTCAAATATTAACTGAGTGTGACTATGCCAGTGCATCAGGCAGTGTGAGTGTGTGCAAGTATATGCATTTGAGTCGGTGGGTGTCAATCTGTGGGTGTATGAGTGTGAGTGGCTGTGGACATGCTCACTACATAAACACATGAGTGTGAACATGTGGGTGAATTAGAGTATGTGTATGAGTGTAGCTGTGTGTATTGGGGAGGTGAGTACATGAGTATGAATGAGTGGGTGAGTGTGAATACCTATGAGCTTTTCTGGGCAGGAATAAACCATCAGGCCACATCCGGGCTCTTTGAGTGTCCAGTGGTTAGTGGTCTATGCAGCCTGTGTCTGAATCACACATGTGCTGCATGATTCTGAACAAGTTTCCATTCAGGGGTTGTGTGTGCCTCAGCTTCCCTGTCTGTAAAATGGGCGATATATACAGCTTCCTTCTGGGGTAGTTGTGCGGATTGGGTTAGGACAGGCCCTGTCAGTACTAGCTATTGATTGGAGGGTTTTTTAAAGATTCATTTATTTATTTATACAAGCACTGGGTACAGTCAGTCAGAAGCGCGGGAGGGTGAGAGAATTCACCAGAGCCAGAGCGGGGAGCAGAGCAGGCAGAAGGACCGAAGGACACTGCTGAGGGGAGCAGCGGGCGGCAGGAGAGGTCTGCGCGCCATGTGGGACCCTCCTCCGGTGGCCGGGGAGCAGCCGGGGATCGAACCGGCGCCGCAGAGGCTGCGGGCAGCTTCGCAACCCAGCGCTCAACCGCTGCGCCACCGGGGAGGCCCGATTGGAGGGTGGTTTTATCATCTAAATTTTTGTGGCCCCAGCATGTAGCAGGTGCTCAGGAAACATTCGCTGAAGGAACAGTCATGGCATGTAGGGTAACCTGCCCTGTGTGTGCGTGTGCGTGTGTGTGGGGAGGGGGGTGAGTTGTCAAAGGCTTAGCTTTGCCCCATCCTCAACCCCCAAAAGCACCGCGTTAGGAAGGAAAGGGGGAGGACCCAGAGGGGCAAGGAGTGAACTCCGGGCGGCCGTCGGTGCCAGGAGCTGGGAATTTATCCCGAGTGCGCGGGGAACCCCTGCGGAGTTCTTGGAGGAGGCGCGCCCTCCGCCCGTCGCGCGGGGGACACGGCAGCGAGACCCCGAGAACCCGCGGTGGGGCCCCGGGGGTCGGGCGGCGGGGGCAGCCGGGGCAGCGACCCGCACGCGGGGACGGAGGCCGGGCCGGGCCGGGCCGGGCGCCCGGGGCGGGGCGGGCGGGGCGCGCATGCAAATCTGCGGGGCGCCGGGGCGGGGCGCAGGAAGCAGGGGCGGGCTCGCTCCCGCGCCCAGGAAAGCCCCGCGAGCGAGCGCCGACCAGTCCCGGCCGCCCCGGGGTCCCCCACTTCTCGCTCGGGCGGCGGCGCGGCGAATGGACCAGGAGGCGCAGGTAGGACCCCGGGCGCTCCCGCGGCTGGGAGGTCCGGGAGAGCCCCGGGCGCTGGCGGCCGTCCGGGAAGGGCTGGGCCCGCGGCGTGGCCCCCGGCGGCAGGGACCCCGCGGACGCCCACGCCCGCACGGGGAACTGGCAGCTGGGGCGCGGGGCCGGGGAGGCGGCCCCTGGGTGCTCAGACTCCCGGAGCGCCCGCAAACGCGTGCTGTCCCCGAGGCGTCCGCTGGGACAGCCCGGGGTGGGGTGGGGGTGCGCTTGGGAATGTCGTGCGCCCCGTGGGCTAGGGCAGATGGTTCTCTGGGGAACCACCCCCAGACCCACGCAGAGGAAGTTGGTGAGGATTGGGAGGAAGGGTGGGAAAAGTTCTGAAAACTGAGAAGTTGGGTAGCAGGTCTAGGAATCTGGGGTGGGGTTGGAGTGGAGGAATGGCCCATTAGATCTTTGGTCTCCTTATTTGAATATTGGATGGATCCAGTAACGGCGATTATTTATTGGACTTACTTCGTGAGCTCTCTGCCCTGAACCTTCAAAGCACAGTACTCTGAGTTAAATGTCGGTATAGCCTTTCTGGTCACTGCTGTGTCTACATCGCAGCCAGTCTGCAGACAGGACGCTGGGGCACAGGCAATTTCAATACCTTGGCTAAGGTAACGCCCACCTGGGCTGTGTAGCGCAGGAGTCAGCCCTGGCAGTGCGGTTGCCCAGCAGGCTGGTCACCACCTCTCAACAATATTTGTCAAACCATACCATAACGAGTCCTCCAGGGTTTTTGATTAAAATGCAAATGCCCAGGCCCCCTTCCATGAGTTTCAGATTAAATAAATCCAGGAGTCTGGACTCTTTTTTAAAAACAAAATCTAGATCTCTTATAATCAAGGTAGGGAGGAGAGGGTCAGTGAGCTCCCTACCAACTGCTGGGATTTGCAGGTGCCCCCAGGCCAGCACTAATCCTGCTGGAACCTACCCTCTGCCCTTCCCCAGCCCTCTGCAAGTATGACCCCCTGTAGCTCCTCTCTCATGGGTGGACTTTCAGGAGCCAGGCGTTGGTTGGGACATTGATTCCTATATTAAAATCCTCAAGTCTGTTGGAGAAACTGAGGCTCAGATGTACTTTTGACCAGGGTGTCCCTCAGTCAGGGAATTTCAGGGTTCTGCCAAGGCCCCTTGAACTCAGCAAGCCAGAGTCCGCTGAGGTGTGGGGTAGGAGGTGAGTGGGCCCTGGGCATTTGTTCCCTCTCTAGTGTTCACTGGGGTCCCCCGGGCACCGCCCTCCATGCTGATCAGGGCCCTCAAGTTACTCCTCTTCTTGAGGAGAGAGCACAGGTAGGGAGGGATCAACTCCTCTAGGGGACAGGCTTCATGGAGTTGGAACCCTCGAGACAGCCTCAGGAGAGGCATGGAGGACTTGGCATGGAGAACAGGATGAAAGGCCCGCTGAGCAGCGGGAATGGCATGGAGCAGGGCTGGGAGGTGTGAAAGGACACATGGAGCCTGAGGAGGGGGTGGAAAGGACCGGGCTGCTTGTGGAAGGCCTTGAATGCCGTGCCGAGGAGCAGGCCAGTTATTTTACCTTTGCCTGAGTTATAAAGTGTTTCGATGCAGATTCCTGGATTGCGCAGATTCCCTCTGGAACTAAATCTCGAGGAAGGCTGTGGGAAGACAGCAAAGAAGGCAAACCATTAGCAAGTCACCCTGGTTACAACACACTCAGTTACTGGCAGGTCTGGGATGACCTGACGATTTCCAAATTCTGGGCAGTGACTCAGTCAGTGATGTGTTTTGAACATCCCATTCTCGGGCATGGAGGAATCCCAGGCAGGGAGGCTGTCCCCTAAGGCCTTCAGTTTCCCGATGCTAAGATTCGAAAAGGAACAGAAATGGAGCGTCAAAGGAGACGAGAGAACCTGTCCAGGACCCCTCCTCCCGACACCCCTCTCTCCCGGTGTCCTTTAGCCCCAAGGTGGAGAAGAGATTTTGGGTTCAGTGGGTCCACTGCCCTCCATGGCATCTGGGAGCGGGCCAGGGTCTCAGGTCCCCCTTCTCCCCAAGTCCCTCTTCAGCTTTGCTTCCTCACATTGTTGAAATTGGCCTTTCGTGGTGGTTAATAACATCACTTTTTTTTTTTTAAGATTTATTTATTTATTTATACAAGCACTGGGTACAGTCAGAAGCGCAGGAGGGTGAGAGAATTCACCAGAGCCAGAGCGGGGAGCAGAGCAGGCAGAAGGACCGAAGTACACTGCTGAGGGGAGCAGCGGGCGGCAGGAGAGGTCTGCGCGCCATGTGGGACCCTTCTCCGGTAGCCTGGGAGTAGCCGGGGATTGAACCGGCACTGCTGAGGCTGCAGGCAGCTTCGTAACCCAGCGCTCAACCGCTGCGCCACCGGGGAGGCCCAATAACATCACGTTTTATAGTAACATACCTTACACAATTTCCAACACAGTAAACGTTCATGTCAATTGTTACCTATGAAGAAGCAGAGTTTGGAGGTTGAGGGTATAGATCCTAGAGCCGGATCACCCAGGTTCAAATACTGGTTTTGCTGCTTGTTATGTAGTTAAAGTCTCAAGACCTCAGTTTCTCCATTTGTGGATTTATAGCAACGACTTGCTGCTGTTGTAGTGATGGGTAATGAATTACTAAGTGACAAGCATGCAGAACAGTGCCTGGGACAGAGTAGGCACTATGTATTTGTTAAATAAATGAGCTCCATTGGAGGGATTTAGTCTACCCATTTGGCAGGTGAGGGTACTGAGCCCCACAGATGTATGTGCAGTCCCCTTACCCAAGATCCTACATTGAAGAGTGAAGGAGGGATTGGAATCTGCTTTTCTTCCCAGCTTATGTGCTTTCCTGCTATGCCAGTTTTCAGGGTGACCCAGAGGGATATCTTCCCGAGCATTCCTCACGGCTGGTATGCTGGAATGGTGCCCAGTCACATTCTGCCAGACTTCCCTGGCTAGGCTAGAAGAGAGGCTTGAGGCCCACTGCTCACCCTTGCACCATGTGGATAGGAGTAGCCCAGCGGAGATTGGGGAGTCCTGCAGAAGCCAGGGGAGCCAGCATCAGACTAGCTATGTCACCCCGGCATCACATGGGCTGTAACCTCATTGCTGTATTGTCTGACTCCCAACAGGTCATTGTGCTCCTAGAACCTGGGGCAGAGAGAAAGCTACAGCTTGAAGACATTGGCCCCAGGTTCAGATCTGACCTTGTTGCTTCCTACACTGCTTAGCCTCTCTGAGCCTTTGTTTGCTTGTCAGTGAAATGGGCACAGTGAGGTGTGTTCAGAGGGTAACTTCTCTAGGCACCTTGCCCATGGCTCACAGTTTCTCTCCTCATTTAGATCCATATCCAGCAGCCACCTTCTGCATTCATTTCTTCTTCATGTATTTATGGGGCGTCTGTATGGGCCAGAAAGTGCTGAGCACTGGAGAAAGTTCTCACTTCCTTGGAGTTTCAGTTCTAGTCAAGAAGGACCGTAAACAAGCAGACAAGACAGCCCTCCACCCCTTACCTAAGAAGTGCAAGTTTTCTCATAACTCAACAGGGAGTAATGGATGGGAACAAAACTTGAGTCTAGCTTTGTCCTCCCGGGCATAAGTGCTCCATCCACTGCCTGGCTGCAGAGCTGTTAATGTGGTTGATCATGGGGTGCTGCTCTGGACCCATGGGGGTTGGGGATGGTTAAGTCAGGTGTATTTTTAATGCAAGAATACCTTTCTGTAGTCTGAGTAATTCTGAGTTCTGAAACATGTCTGCTTGCTAAGATTTTACAAGAGAGAGAATATAGACCTAACATACCCTATCTTGGAGTGACCGTGCTAGGTAGAAAGTAAAGTGGGTGTGGGGCGGCATCAAGGGGGGGGTGCTCTCTGAGGGGAACATTTAGAAGACAAAGGGCAGAGGCCTGGGGAAGAACAGACCAGAGGGAGGGAACTACTAAGATGCTGGAGAAGGTCTCTTTTATGCCCTGGCCACTGCCTGCTGCTTGGACGCCCTCCCCCCGCCCCCACCAGCCTTGCCTGCGTAGTTCTGTCTAAATTGCACCTCTTTGCCTTTCCAAGAAGTAGTGTTTCCTCTGAGGCTTCAGATTTGGCTCCAAGTGACTCATTGTCATTCTCAGGGTGCGGGGAGGGGACATAGACCTCCTTACTGCCTCAGGGTGGCTTAAGAAAGAGCTGGACACAGTGTAACTTGATGGGCCCACCGGTGGGCAGCTGATTCCTCTCCTCCACCACCCTCCAGGGAGAGAGGTAGAAAGTGGGCACTGGTGAGGAAAGAGTCCTTGGCCCTCAAGGGTTCCTGATAGGGGTGTGCTGTCCTGAACAGCCGGTTGGTAAAGGGACTCTAGCCTCTAGTCTGCAGAGCCAGTTTACACAACTCAAAATAACTGGTGGCAGCACTCTGAGAGGCCGGGAAAGTGTCCTTTCTGCCTTTTCTAAAGAGGAAACAGAACTTGTCTGGAGAGGAGACACTGGGTCTCTGGACTGCCAGCCCTCCTAGCCTGCAGAACTGCAGCCTCCTGACAGTCCTGACTCTAGAGATGGAGCGGAGACTTCGAGAAGCCATATTCCTCAGTTGAATGGCCTAACTGGGAGAAAATGTGTGCTGGGATTTAGCCAAAGTTACTCTCCAGGAGCTTCCACTTTCTAGCTCTGGTTCTGCTTCTTGGAAGTAGTGATCATTTGATCTCCAACCACAGTCCAATCTTTCTCTTATTCAGAGTACACGGTCCTTTTGGCAATTCTTCTTGCTCAGAGAATTGTAAAGACCATTTTGGCTTTGGACGTGATCCAATAGGTCAAAGTCCCACATAATACTCATTGTCTGCCCTCCAATTCTGCTGAGTCAGATGGGAAGGAGATTGTTACCTCCTTGGCTCTGTAGCCCATATCTCTCTTGATACAACCTGCAATCATACTTTGTATCCGTCACATTTCACTTGGGGTTCCTACTGGACTTTTCAACTAAAATGTCTGGATCTCTCTTCTATA